GGACTCCAGGATCATGACCTGAGCCGAAGGCAGTCGCTTAACCAACTGAGCCACCCAGGCGCCCTCAAGAGAAGAATTTTAAGCTTAGGAAATGTTCATTGTTATGTGTGTGTATATATTCATATAGATGCTTAATTAGCTTTAAAATATTAATTTATTTCAGCATCCCTCAAGTTCTTTTTTATAAGCTTCTGCAAAACTTAAAAGTATCCTGCTACTTTGTTCTTCCGTCTTTATTAACTTCATTTAGAAAGTTGTTCAGCTAAATCCTTTTTGCTCTTTAGAAATTAAATTGCAGACTGTGTTGGATTTTATAATTTTGTATTCTGTGAGAAAATTTTGTTAGACATAACTCTTTATGAACTTTTTAATTTTTTAATTTATTTTATCTTTTTATTACTTTAAGTACGTTCTTTCACAAGCCACCAAATTGCTTTTTCTCCTTGCTTGGGAAAACTTGTGTACCTGCCTTTCTTTCACATGTTTTCCATAATAATTCCAGCTCATAACTTTACATTTTCTTTTCTAGTCGCCGAGATGACATGGAATCATTAGGATATGTTTTGATGTATTTTAATAGAACCAGCCTGCCATGGCAGGGACTAAAGGTAAATGAGACTCCCATTCCCAGTTTTTTGTTTTAAGAATAAAAGTACATATTGGAGATGAACTTTAAGATCCCTTTCAAACATGAGGCTTTCTGAGAGTGAATTAACTTTATTTTTCACCTTTTATTGGGAAAATAAAATCTGATCATTTAAGAATTAAGTTAATAGAATCCCGGAGTCAGGCTTAAAGAACAATTTCCTTTGGGACAGTAAGCAGGTACCCATTGGTAACCAGTAGCTTTATCTCAATGGAAATTGACATGGGCTAATTAAAGGTGGAGGCTTTCTCATTTTGGTGTGTTGCCAGTATGTTGAAAATGTATACTTTTATGTGTAGTAAAACTGGTTCTTCTAGTAATACTAGCTATCTTAATTATCCTAACACTTGTTTCTATTAATTAGGAGTTTCACCCTGACTTTTGTGAGTCTGTTAATGATAACTCACCATGTCCTAGAATTTAAAGGCTACTTTTGATACTTTATTGGTCCTTTAAAGGAAAATGGTCCCTGTATTTATTGAGCATCCGTGAACTAGACAGTTGCTCAGTGCTTGTATGGATAGTTCTATCCAATATGAACTATTTTTACATTGGAAAAATATTTTGACTTCACTTAATAATGTTACTACACTTTATATAGTGTTACTAAATGGTGGGCACTGTTTTTGTTATTGATCTACTTATACCTTTGCCCTTGTGTTGAATATGGGTTGTGAAAACTCATTTCAGATTTAACTTCACCCATTAAATCATGTTCTTATTAGACTCACCCTTTCTTAACAGCTAAAAATGTTTTTAAAGTAGAAACTCATATAAAAAACTAAGTTTAGGGTTGGGAAATTTTGGTATATTGTACTTTGATTTATTTTTTATTCCAGGTTATGATTTCTCTTGAATCTCAAGTTTACATTTATATTGGTGGGTTAAGCTAACAAGGTTCTTATTAGTATTGAATAGTATTATTAGTATTGAATATGTCTATGTGGTTTGATTCTTATTTTCCACAGGCTGCAACAAAAAAGCAAAAATATGAAAAGATTAGTGAAAAGAAGATGTCCACTCCTGTTGAAGTTTTATGTAAGGTAAGTGTGCCTGATGGCTTTTTTTTTAATATAAAAAATCCAAGAAGTCTGGAATTTAAACATCCTATTAGGTAGCTATTTGCCATTTTAAATGTATGTTTTGATAATTCTAAGTATCTTTAAGAGTGGCTTGAACATACGGGTCATTTTAAATAAGCATTTTATGTTTCTGGTTTGTTTGGGCCCTATAATCTGTTAAAAATTGGAGGAAGAAGAATAGGGCAGGTTACGTTTTCTAGTGGAACCTCACCAATTTATGACAAAATTAGGAAATATTCTCCTTATCTCTAAACCGGTGCCAGTAAAGAAAGGATCTTAACGGTTGTCAGGGACATCAAGGAGTAGAGAAACGAAGGCAGATCACAGCAATCCAAAATAGCCAGTGTCCAACAATATAGATGACAGTTTGAGTCAGGCTTGTTGCCCTGAAATCTCAAACTTTGTTAGAGAAGCCTGTAAGTAGAGAATGGAGAAGTAGCTGTGTCATGATGGATAACCATGGTCTTTTCCATTGAAAGAAAACCACACGGTCATCTCTGAGACAATTGTGTACCTGAAATTATTAGGAAACAGTATATAATTATATAGTATAGTTGGGTGTTAGAAGGGGGAAATGAACATGGTGTTGAAATAGTACTTTGTGGAGGCGGGGAGAGGTGATGTTTTTATGTCTCCCTGTCCACAAATTTGCTTTTCCATTTTCTCTAGATCTACAGTAAAGGAGGGGTTGGGATGGGTAAGAGACTATCATCATTTCTGAGACTCTTGGGATTTGTTTTAAATTATGAAATACATTTTAGGTGAATGAATAAAATGTTTGTGTGTTATAGTGCACCCAAATAACTTTCAAATCTTATACTTCTGGAAGCAAAACATGTTTCTATACACTACTATTCCATGCAAATTATGATTCATTTGGATTATTGGAAAAGTCAGCCATTTTTACAGGAAAAGAAAGGGAGGGTTAGTACATTGTCTGCTTCTGGGTTATGTCTTAATTTTGATCTAGAAATAATGAACCTGGGTCTTTCTGGATTAGCCACATAAAACTGATCTGAGGGTGCAGTGAACACAGAATATTAGTATTACTGTAAAATAGTGAGATTGTTTTCAGTCTCATGGTCCACTGGTAACTACTTATTTCATATCTGTAATACTTAGGATATTGGTAATTTTCTTTTGTTAATAAGGTTTTGCCTGTTTTCATAAGGTAGCAGTGCATGAAGTAAACTATTTGATTTTTAGTTGGCAGTTGTTTAGCTCTATTTATAATACACATAAAAGCAAGTTCATTTGGTATATGCTGCTTACCATTAACACAGACCATGAAAATATATTAAAAATTTTAAAGTCATGTTAAGAGTTTAAATAAAACGTACAATATATTTTCACTTAAAAGGTTTCAGCTTTCCATCTCGAACACAGAAGTAGCATAAAAATTATATCTGTATCAGTGCAGTGAGTAAAAATAAATGTTGCAAGTATGTCCATTATATCCCACCTTAACCTCCTGCATGTGAGAAATTTCTCAAAATTTGAAGGTTGTGGGAAGAGACTGTCTTTTTAACTTCCCACCCTTCACATTCACATATACTCGAGGCAGGGTGCGGGGATTTTTGTTTAAATTTTTTGCATTTCTACATTCCTACTGGCAAAATCCTTTTTGGTGGTTAATATCTATAGGCTTAAAGATGTGTTATATGCATTTTTGAGAATCTTTCCTTTAAGAAGCTGAGCATGTAAAAAGTTTATGCCCACAGGTGTACTTATTAATACTGTTTATGAAAGAAAAAATTTCATCGCCTAAATGTCCAGTTATAGGGAACAAGTTAATTATGATGTATTCACTGGTTGGATATTATGCAGCCATTCAGAAACTTATGTTGGAAATAACACAGAAGGATAATTGCAATATAATGTTAGTGGAAAAACAATATGTTATGTATGCAGTATAATAACAATTACGGATAAAAGAAAAGGCAAACCCAATCTTTCCGTAGGACAAAGCATTGGATTGATCTGTATCACAGCAGTGGTTGCACTGTATGTTTGTACTCTTGGTGATTTTACTTTTCTGTTTATATAGGTATATACTATTTCCCCAAAGAAGTAATTACAGAGTTGGGGAGAAAATGCCAGTTCACTGACCTGTTGTGGCAGAGAACCTTACTGGCCTCCATTTGGTCATTTGTTCATTGTTGCCATTGAAGTATTAGACATTGATAAAATAATAACAAGTTGGATATCCAGATTACTTAAGAGTATAATACTGTAGGGAAAGGATCCATGTTTCCCCTGCCAATATTAAAAGATGTACATGATGAGGTAGTCAGGATTTATGAGGATACCAAGTCATATTATAGTTAGTTTAGTTCTCAGATCTTATGGCAAAGTAGTGAAACACTCTCCTCAAAAACAATTTTTACTTGTATTTAAATGCATTTATTTTTCTGTCTTAAATAAATTTTTTTGTTTTTTTACCTTGTGTTTTAACTCTTGAACTTTAGGGGTTTCCTGCAGAATTTGCCATGTACTTAAACTATTGTCGTGGGCTGCGCTTTGAGGAAGCCCCGGATTACATGTATCTGAGGCAGCTATTCCGCATTCTTTTCAGGTCAGTTTTTAAGGTGTTTTTAAGACTGTAGACTCTAGTGAGGGAAATTAGTTAAATCCACCCAACACATCTGTTCTGACAGGTAGCAGATTAAAGTGGGTCTAAACCCATATGAATAAAATCTTAAGAAACTGAGTTTGGAAAAAATAATAAAAGAAAGAAACTGAGTTTGGCATGTTTCCATTTGTGGTGCAAATGTGCTTGAAATTATTTTAGTTTGGGATGGAGAAACAGTTGAGTCAGACGCAAAGTAGAATCTAACTTTTCCACAATAATTGCCATTCGTACTAGATAGAAGTGATTATTGGTGGCCCTTGGAACTCTCCAGCTTTGCTACAGAACCCTATTTAATAACAAAATTAACAGCAATTAAAATAGTTACGGGGTCTATGATTGTGTGGAGACAGGCCTCAGGCCTCAGACTCTGGGGTTCCCTAGGTGCAACCCAGAATTGGTCTTGAGCAGAGGGGGAAGTAAAGTACATGTGGCCCGAAATCTTAGTTGGAAGAGGATTAAGAATTGGGGGTAATTCTCTAACCCCAGAAGAGTCTTCTTTCCAAGCCACCAGCATACACATCTCCCCCACAAGCTTACATTCTTATACTTACTCTGATTTGTTCTTAGAAGGTACCTCCTATTTGGATGGTTCCCTAGATAATTGACAGCTTGACTCCATGTTTTTGTTCATGCTGCTGTTCATTCCCACTCTCCTGCCTCTTTCAAGGAAGTAATAAAGTCGGCTTCTTTTTTGAAAAAGGAGATGATTTATTCTTAATGAATACATCAGACCGAAGTAGTGACATCATTTTCCTTCAATTGTGACTTGTAAAAAGTGGAATTAATGAACTGAACAATTAAAAAGTCATGTATATGGAATGAAATCTTTTAGAAGTTACCATACTTAAGAGAAAACACTATCATTTCCTTAAAAAGTGCCCTCACTGTCTTGAAAGCTCAATGGAGTATTTAACTAGACTGTATTATTAAAGGATTAACATATACCATACTGTGTTTTACAGGACCCTGAACCACCAATATGACTACACATTTGATTGGACAATGTTAAAGCAGAAAGCAGCACAGCAGGCAGCCTCTTCAAGTGGGCAGGGTCAGCAGGCCCAAACCCCCACAGGCAAGCAAACTGACAAAACCAAGAGTAACATGAAAGGTTAGTAGCCAAGAACCAAGTGACGTTACAGGGAACAAATTGAACACAAAATTGGGTAATTCATTCATTTCTAACAGTGTTAGATCGAGGAGGTGGTTTTAAAATAAGTAAAAATTTGGCTCTGTGTTTTTAAAAAAAGACGTCCTTGGAAAATTTGACTACTAACTTTAAACCCAAATGTCCTTGTTCATATATATATGTATATGTATTTGTATATACATATATGTGTGTATATATTATATCATTTCTCTTGGGATTTTGGGTCATTTTTAACAACTGCATCTTTTTTACTCATTCATTAACCCTTTCCAAAATAAATATTTGGTGTTGGGAATATGGTATAATCAATCAATCCAAAATCCTAGACCTAACACTTGTTGATTTTTAATAATGAATCTGGTTAGCTATGGTATTTGGACTTTGTTTCAGACTAACAGTGTTAAGAATTTTTTTCTGCATGTTAATGCTTTAGCATTTAAAATGGAAAAATGTGAACATGATCTAATTTCCAGAGGTGAGTCTGGCATTGCCCCCAAAGTGTCTATCTTCTCAGTTGCAGAGCATCTCATTTGCGCTCTTAAATGCTCAAATAACTGAAAAGCTCGACACATCCTTCCTAGTCAAAAACCAGATCTCTCATTTAGTTGCAATCTAACTATGTAAGGTTCTTATTTGTCTTGGGCTTTATTTTATAAAATCTTGCAAATACTCAGGTTCTGGGGGTTTGTTGTGGAATTGAATTCTTCAGTTAGGCTTTGCAAATTGGGGGAAAAAACTGGGGCAAATGCCACTGAACTGCTAGTCTATTTCCTTTCTGTCTCTGGCACTCTTGGTGCTACTAAGGAGTAGAACTGTTAGGGCACAGCTCCAGTCTTGTCACTGTTGCCGTACAGTTCGACTCCTGTGTTTCATGGTTTTTGTTTCTTTTTCTTCCCCCCCTTTCTGGGGCTTACCTCCTGATACCTGCCTACTTTCTGGAAGTGGTGGGCAGGTAAGGTTTGGTCTTTGGTTTCTAATTATTTAATTTCTGAATGACTGCTCTAGTCTGAACTTAGTCGTCTTTGGTCTATATTTTTAGAATTGTATTTTAAAAATTTTGTAATTTAAAAATAGACTCTAATCTGAGGATACTTTTCAAGAAGTATAATTCACTGATGTCATCCTCATCCCAGCAGCTCATCTATTAGGAATGAAGTTGAGATTCTTCTCTTCCATGTTTCTGTATTTGGGAAGGATTCACAGTTGAAGGCTTAATGTAATGGGGGTTCTGAGATGATGAAATTTCAGCTCAGGATAATAAACACTAATGCTTGCCTCTGCGTCTCAGTTGGGACTTAAACTTGTCCCTTGAGTGTTTTAATCATTGTATGACTAATCACAGTGCCATGCCCTTAATGAGGTAGGTTGCTAGCTAGTGTCTCTGAGAAATGGTCCTACCAATGTAATGTTCTAAACTTAGGACTTTTATTATACCTGAATCTATAGGGTATTTGCTTCTTTTCATAAAATGAAACCAATTTTTGCCTAAAGCTAGCTGGGATAATAGGATCATCACGAGTTGCAGTTTCTAGAACTAAAATTAGATTGAAATCTCCTCTGACCCAGAACATTTCACTTCAGGCATTCAGCAGCTTTCAGAAAGAATTCCCTTATTTTGAGTTAGTTCCATTGTTAGTTTACTGTGTATCTCTTTCTCAATAAACAAGCAGAATTTTTGTCCTGCCTTATCTAGGTCTTAAAGATGAGAAGTTGGATCCACTGAGTTAGTATGTTTCCTTGGAAAGAAATTGTAATTAAACTTAAGTTTAATCCTTAATTTTGTAGTGTAACTATTTTTCATAAAAGCAACTTAAAAATCTTAAAAGATGTTTGGGGAGCCTGGCTGGCTCAGTCAGTAGAGCATGTGACTCATAATCTCAGGGTCATGAGTTCAAGCTCCACATTGGGGGTAGAATTTACTTTTTAAAAAAAGAAAGAAAGAAAAGAAGATCTTACAGAATTTTCAATAGCAGTGTTAGACCCAGGGTTTATACAAATTATTATATAAACACCAACTTGTAAAATTTTGAATAATTGGACTTTCCCATAAAATGTACTTACCATTGACTACTTTCAGAGAAACATTTTGAGGTAGTATATTTTGATTGCAAGTGAAATACTGCTTGCTCCTAAAATGTGCCATGCCATAGAATACAAACAAAGTTGTATTTGATCTTTGACTTCTCGAAAAGATTTATTTTGGTTATAGAGTTTAGTTCCCCAAACAAATACCACATGAAACCCCCTATGTATAAAGCTGTGACAGTATGGCAGGTTTGAGAGTGGCATGAAATGAGTATAGGGAGCCTGTTTCTCTAACCCCAATCCCATTATCCATGTCACCTGTTAAGAAATCTTTTATTAATTCTGGAGTTTGAAGACAGTCGCTCTAGGTTACTTATTTCCTGATTTTCAATCTCTAAATAATAAAGGTATTTAAAAGCATATTCTCTCAGGGTCCACTACAGTAGTTTTTTATTCAGGGGAGAGCTCATGCAGCTCGGCTATTTGCTGATTCCAAGAAATCCTTTCAGTGATGATGATAACATTATAGTACATTTTTCTAATTAAAATTTTAGAAGATGCTTTTTAAATACATCATACCAGTTTTTATTCATGGAGTTACACTCTCAGAGGTTTCCCACAGAGAATTGAGTTTCTTAAATGAATCATCAACGGGTAGAGCTATATATTGCAGGAATATCTATTCCTGGAAAAATACCCCAAATGGTGGTATCGACTAATATATTATTATTTCTATTTTTTGAAAAATGTATATCAAATGGTTTTTCCATGGAAAAGTGTAAATTGTTTCAGCAGTTCACTGAGAATGTCCAAAAAGACTCTTTAAAGTCTGCCTTACTCAGCTAAGATGAGCTTGTTGTGTGTAATAGACTTCTTTCCTAATTACTTCTCTAAAGAAAAGGTCTTTTGAAATATTCCATTCCAAAGCCTATCAAAAGACTAAGAAACATTTCTCATATAGGCATTTCTCATATAAAGCCCACTATGATCTGTACTAATTTGCAGTGCTCATGTGCCACAAGATTATAATTACTGTTTTTATGCATATTAAAGAGAAAAATAAAAGATTCACATCTGAGGCACTTTCAAATTCATTTCACTTCCTTTTCTTCAACTATATGTGATTATCAGGAAAGTACCTTTCAAGACATTTAAGAAGTACTAAAGGAAAAGGAAATATTTTTAGGACTTCAGAATCCAGTTAAGATCACCATTTCTTTAGTTGAGGTCAGAGATGGGGAGAATTTCCTAAGGTAGTGAAGCCAAAGTTGGATCCTCACGTTTCTTTTCTCATCATCTTAATCCATCTGTTCACTACTCCAGCCATTGATACAAAGCATAATTTTATCATAATATATGTGGATGTCAAATTGTTAACAAAAGATAGAAATATTTTTCCATCACATTCTCCTACCATGTCCATGGTCCTCCTTGAATTACCTTCCAGTATTTACTGGGATTCACCTACCATTTCTGTCTAGCTTAACTTTTTCTGACTTCACCAATTGCTGCTAGGAACGTGGCTGGTCACTCAGCAACGTAACCCAAATCACAGGGGAAGACCTTGAAATATCTGGAGACTGATCTTCTCTGAATATACTCAATCTAAAGAAGTGCCAGGAAGCTGCATCTGCTTGCTGAAATTTTTGTCAGCTTTTGTCACGGTGGACAGTACAACTGGAGAGAAAAGAGCTCAGTACCCCAACAGGAAGTGAAGAGGAGTGTGCAAGAATTTGATTTGTGGTTATCTGAAACCCACATCTCCAAGGCTTGCTGGACCTATCAAAAACTTCAACTTGTCAGATTGGATGGATACCACAACAGTCAGAAGACCTAGAAGAGCACAGTGTTGCTGTGACTCAGTGATGTATAATGCAGACCATCTACCAGTTGGGAAAGGAATCCGTTGTAACAGGTATTTTAAAGTTCAACAACCTCAGAATTCTGTAATAGGGAAGACGAAAGAAATCAGATCATTAGTCTGGTTTTCTTAAATGCAGTTTAGCGGTAATATGTATCTTGTATACTTAAGTTGTCATTGATTTGTAGTGATAAAAATAAAATCTATTTTCTTTCTTTCCCAACTTTTAATAAATTTTTAGTTTAGTTAGGAAAAGTTATTGTAGTTGTTTTTCTTTAACTTTTATAGTGCCAGTCTGATTCAGAATTGTCCAAGCTTGATTCTGATTTTTGTGTAACCAAAAAACCCACACAGGCATGTTGTGGAAAAGTTTGCCTGATAAATGACATTGCGTGGTGAAGATAGATCTTGTCTTCACATTACTTTTAAAAAGTTAGTTTTCTACTGTGAAAGGATCCAAAAATTTCAAAAGCCCATCACAAACTTCTAAGCCATACTATTATATAAATAGTTCTTTGAACTAGTTTGTGGTTCTATTTAAAAAAAAAAAAAAATCAAGGACATCTGAAGTGAATTCACAAATAAGAGCCGATACATAATCTTCAGATTTTGGAGTAAGGGGGTAGACTCTCATTAGTTAAATAAATATAAACATTTTTTTTCTTTTGCAGATTTGAAAAGAAACTTAAGTGTAGCTATTAACTCAGTGGTCCCAGTGATCAACTCTGTTTTAACTTTGTTTTTCCCTCTTTTTTTTAGGAACAAAGGGATCCATTCCTTATTTTAACTGTTGTTGCAGTGAAGATGGGTTTTGGGACTTCTAAAAGCCAGAAGCCAGGAGAGACCACCTAAACTACAAGATAAAAACCAAGGACTCATGCACACTGGGAAGAAGAATGCTTAGCCCTTGAAGATTGAATGTTGAATACCTGCTGAATGCTCCCACTGAGATTTTTCTTAAACTTCAGTAACATCTTAGGACAAATCACTGGAGAAACATTGATCTCTGGGTGGAGTATCCTACCATTGGCCGATCTGAAGAGTTAAATCTGGATTTGACTGCTCTATTCTACCGGGAATATTTTTAGGCTAGCCTTTGTCTGATCCCTAAGCAATTGTAATCATTAATTGACCCAGGAATTTCTAAAATATCAGATTAAAAGATGAACCAGATAAAATTCTTATCTAGATACAATTTTTATCCCTATTAAAGACACAAGAGTTTCTACTATTTTGACTGACAATATAACTTAAGCTTTCTTTTTAGTTAGTGACAGTGGTTTCCATTTTAAAGCTGTTTGGATATTCAGCGTAGTAATTAAATGGCTCAGTATAATGTAATTGCATAGCAAGCTATGATAAATCATTTTAGTAGTTGCATAAACATTTTTCTTTATCGTATTTAAGAATAATTGCAGGACTTCAAATGCTCATCAGGGTAAGGGTCATTACAGTTTAGCTAATTCATAGTTTTAATCTGCTTTATAATAATCTGTATTTTAACATTGGAATTAGGTTACAGAATATGGTCTTTAAAACTTTAATTCAGGTTTGGTTTGACAGCCTTTTCTTCATATGCTTACCTTGGTATTTCTGTTTAGTAATACATACCAAATAGATAATACTCCTTGTGGCGAAGCACATTTTTAGAAAGTTTCGTTTTTCACTTTTGGCATTTGCTTTATGAATTTAGTACTTGGACAGGCAACAAAGGTCTATTTTGTACCAGCTCCGTTAGTCAAGGTAGAGAGAGAAAAGTGTACGACACTTGTTTGTCCTCAGGTCTTTAGCCCAATATGTTTTTAAGTGGATGAAGATGACTTTCTGCCCTCAGATGGAAAAACTCCTAGTTAACAAGTGAGACAGTATTAACCAAGAAATGACATATCAATGTGTGGTATTATCCTGGAAAAGGGGGGCATTTATGCATGCAAAGCAAATTATAGAAGCATATTATTTATCCCACAAAGCCCATTGGAGATGGTCCAACAAATGTTTGAGAAGCACAAAAAAGGGAGAAGTTTATGATTAACAAAAACATGGTTTCAGTGCTGAAGAAGTGAGAGATCAGAGTGAGCTAGAAAGAACAATAATGAGGCAGCTATAAGAGTTTGCAAGGGGGTGCACCAAGGGGCACAGACACCTCGAAGGATGGCTGTTGGTGAGAGGAGGTGGTACTGATGGGATTTTCATGTTGAGAAGTAGGCGTATTTCCTTTCTGCTTTTAGCCATAGATAAAGCTTGTAGGTAATAGAGATCAGCATTTCTTCTAGTGGTCTTTAGCCACAGATGAGACATGCAGCTATTATTACCTGAAGCTGTTTTCTATTCAAACCTGCCTGGATGTGGAAGTCTTAGAGTCTAATTGTGTGGGAGGAGGGTGGTAGTTATATGGTGGGAAGGCTTAAGAAATAAATAAAGCCAAAAAAAAAAAGCCTCACTTGTTTATATTTTCAAATCTGGGGCAAAACCTCACCTTTTTAATGTAATTGATGGAAGTAAAGAATTTTGAAAGATATATGGTTTCTGTATAAAAATCGTACACTTAACCAAGTTTGTGTTCTATGGAATAATTCAGTTATGTGTTGAGTACATTTATTATTAAAGCTTATTGTTCCTTATTTGTATCAGAAATAAGGTCCAGAAAGGTTCCTGGACATAGTATGATTAAAACATACATTCTAATTTTTAGGCAAAGCAATCTATTTTTCATTCATTTGATAAATATTTGAACACATAACATGCTCTAGGCATTAGAGATACGGAAGTAAACAAAACAGGCTCATTGGAATCACCAGTAATTCTCTAGCTTGAGAATTGTATGCTGACTGGGAAGACTGACTGACTGTATCCCACTCCTACCTAAAGGCATCTAGAACAGAAAAGGGTTTTTTCTTGTTTTAAAAAATTGACCTAGTCATTTTCAAATAGATGAAAATGACACAAGTCACCGTTCTAAAGTAATTATTAGCTCAGTTTCACCCAATTTCCCAATTTTGGGTGTAGTTTTTTAAAAAAATACATTTTTTAATTTGGAATTTTAACATTCTTCTTTCTGTTTTGATTTTTTTTTTTTTTTTAAACAGGTTTCTAAGCATGAATCGAGGAACAGAAGAAGCAGAGCAGATGATCGGAGCAGCATTTGTTTCTCCCCAAATCTAGGAATTTTAGTTCATATGTACACTAGCCAGTGGTTGTGAACAACCATTTACTTGGTGTAAAGAACTTAATTTCAGTATAAACTGGCTCTGGGCAGCATTGGTGATGCCGTGTCCCGAGTTGTAGCCGCTGTAATTGTGAATATTAACTGAGATAGTGAAACATGGTGTCCAGTTTTCTATTGCATTTTTTCAAGTGGAAAAGTTAACTAAATGGTTGACACACACAAATTGGTGGAGAAATTGTGCATATGCCAATTTTTTTGTTAAAATCTTTTATTTTGAACTATACTGCTTTGAGATCTCATTTCAGAAGAACGGCATGAACAGTCTTCAGCCACAGTTGTGATGGTTGTAAATGCTCACAATTGTGCATTCTTAGGGTTTATCCATCCCTGGGGTTTGCAAATTGTTCACTTAAAACATTCTTAAAATGGTTGGCTTCTTGTTTGCAAGCCAGCTGATATGGTAGCAACCAAAGATTCCAGTGTTTGAGCATACGAAAGACTCTGCCTGCTTACCTGTGCTAGAAATAACAGCATCTAAAGTGAAGACTTAAGAAAAACTTAGTGACTACTAGATTATCCTTAGGACTCTGCATTAACTCTATAATGTTCTTGGTATTAAAAAAAAAAAACATATTTGTCACAGAAATTTAGTTAACATCTTACAACTGAACATGTATGTATGTTGCTTAGATAAATGTAATCACTGTAAACATCTATATGATCTGAGATTTTGTTTTTATTTTGAAATGGGAGCTTTTTTGTTTACAAGTTCATTAAAAACTAAAAATTGTTTCTGTAAGGAAATGAGATTTTTTTTTTAACAACAAAAATGCCTTGCTGACTCACTATGAAATCAAAATCTCCCCGATTTTTTAATAGACTACTTCAAGCCATTTGTTACATACTATTCCTTTGCAAATCATTTTAGATTTAGTGTTACAACTTTTCCTCAGATTTTTTTATTTAATTTTTTTTTTTTTTTTTTTTTGTGGTCTGAAGGGGAAAGGCATTCTTTCATTTTTCCTGTTTTAGTGACTTGCAGGCACAGTCCCTAGTGCTGCAGCTGCCAGGGCTTGGTGGTGTAACTCCTGCAGCCTCAGACTACACAGCTGGACTGATTTTGATTAAGAATGAAAGCGTTAAAGGGTTTAACTACCATTTTGTAGTTTTTCTTTAAATTCCTTGTTAATTGGAGTTGAGCAGGTTGATTCTTAACCTTGGAGAGCATCCCACCAGGTGAGGTTCATGTGATTGCTGACCCTCCCTAAGCCCCTGTTCTTTTCCCTCAGTTATCTGCGCTTCCTCTCAATCTTAAATGCACTCTTTTCTTGCCTCTCTCTGACCCAAGAGAAAGAAAAGCTTACTGACAGTAATTCTTTAAATAGTGTAATTTATTCATTTATAGCATGTCAGGATAAATTAAAAGAACCTTTGTCTGAAAATGCTGCCAGAAGCCTGTTGTGTAAATGTAGGTATTTTGTAAAAATAACCTTGAAACTGTACATTGACACATGTTTGGTCAGATTGTGTCAGGTTTAAGTTTTATTTCTTTTTTCTTTTTTAAAACTACTTTAGCAATAATTAATCCCATGATTACCACATTCTGCTATTAAAGGGTCTGTTAGCACCATCACACTGCAGAAATCTTAATGAGTGCGAACTTTTGGGGTAGGCAGCTTATTTGTTTCTTTTCTATCCACCCCTGTCAGTTAAGGTATTTGTTTCTTGACTAATAATAAACCCTTTGATACTTTTAGCCAGAAATCAGTCTCATAAAGCTATTTTTGAGTATAGTTTGTGTAAAATAAAAATGTTTAGCTTCGGTAATAACTTTTCCAAGCTGAACTCCCTCTAGCAAGATATTTTTCAGTGCTTTTATTTACTATGCACTTAGACTATGCACTTTTTCTGAAATATTTTTGTAACACTTAACTTTTTTGTATTTTTGCCATTTGAAAAGGTTGTGGTGTAGTTGGTCTGTAATTAAGTTGCAGATTTAAAACTGCTGTTAGCTTTGTAAATCAAAATATAGGTGTTTTTGTCCTGGTATATCTTCATTCCATCTGCAGCTGGAGCTGGAATCCCATTGATCTTCTAGCTACCATTCATTTTCTTCACAGTTCACAAAAGAAGAATGTGAAATTCAGTGAATGCTGTTACTAATCCTGTCGGGAGATGAATCTCATTTCACCAAAATTAAATTATGTTTTTCCACTACAATGATGATACAAGTTGAAGACACATCACTCTGAAATTGGAAGACCTCACCACTTAAGGCTCCGCAGTGGCTTACCCAGCTGAACTCTAGGTTACTACTCTACTTTGTTCACCCATTGGGGGGTACAGTTTTTTTTTAAATGTTGGGAGATGGCCATTCTAACTACTGTTGAATGTCTCTGTTTTGGGAAGGTATAACAAGAAAATAAAAAAGAATATATATGAAGGGAGAGACTGGTTATCTCCTCCCATATGGTTGTGCTCATGCTCCTATGGCCTACAAATGACGTTTTGGAGGTTGTGTTTACTATTATTTTCATCAACAAATAGCAAGAGATTTTCCTATTTCTACTAGTCCTTGCAACACTATTAAAATGTTTCAAGCAGAGAATACTGTAATGATTATAAACTTAATTACATTGTAATAAAAATACCAAGCAAGATTTTAGAACCCAAGGCAATAAGCTAGTGTTTCCTAACATTTGCTGAAATACAGGGTTCTAGCTTAAGTAGAATGAACCGTGGGACTTCTAAGAAGGGTGCCCTAGACTCCCAGCTCTTGAAAATGCAGTCTGATACAGACTCTTCCTGAGCAAACGAATATGTAGCAGTATTTTAGGTTTTCTCTGTTTTTAAAGGGATAACCATTTGATCAAAATGTGAGTAGGTCTGTATGAGGTGTAGCAAAGTGTCAACAATTTATCTCAGATATGCTGTCCCCCTTTAAAGTGAGACTGTTGAGACTAGACCTTGACAGAGTTGTTTTGTGCATTTTTTGAAATGGCCAAAGATGGTGATGAATGAAGAGTAAGTTGATCTAATCCGGCTGTGCATTACCAAACAGCACATTGTTGAAGTGAGATGACTTGTTTTCTCAAGTGACTTGTTAGGTCAGTTTTGAGGACATAGGCAAAAGTAATGAAAATGTTGAGCAATGGGAGAGCTATTAAACTTAGCTGACCGAGGCCTGTTTCAAGTTGTGGTCAAATGGCATTGTGTCTTGCTGAGGCTTTGGACCCACAGTGACTAGAATTTCACAATGAGAAGGAAAAGCAAGTTGGAGAGATCTGGGAATTCACACTTCATTCAGTTGTTGGGTCTCTGCTCTTTTTCAGCCTGGCAGGGTGAACTAGTTCATTCTACCCTTTGCCTTTACCAAACCAGAGCCCTTGAAGAGGTTTTTTTTTTTTTTAAGATTTTATTTATTAGAGAGGGAGCACAAGGAGGGGGAGAGCTACAGGGAGAGGGAGAAGCAGGCTCCCTGCCAAGCAGGGAGCCCGATGCGGGGCTCGATCCTAGGACCCCGGGATCATGACGTGAGCCGAAGGCAGATGCTTAACCGAACCACCACTGAACCACCCAGGCGCCCCTGGAAGAGGTTTTTTGAGGAACTGCTACTATTGGCACAGTGTACACCTATCTGAATCAAAAATTAGGAAGACATGTTTGTAATGGTGATGGTTTTAAGTACTGGGAGCAGTTCATTGATGTCAGTACCACCCAAGACCTGAGCCAGAGCACCTGACTCCTTAAATGACTTCTGAATGGGAAGAAGTGTAAGGTGGAGATGGATGAAGTGTTAAGTGACCAGTAAGCTAGATCCATGTCCTTCATAGTGAGGAAGCCAACCAGGGTATGTATGAGTTGTTAAAAGAAGTGTAGATAAATGGGGGGGGGGCAGATCACTGGGGAGCAGCAAATGAAAAATCTGAAATACAGGACTAGGTACAGAAGGTAGAGAACTGCTGCAGGACCATAAAGGAATGGATACACAAATCAAGTGCTCTTTAGAAGGATCAGAGAGTACTCTGAGGAATCAAATGGAGGTTGGCAACACATTTAAGCTGTAGGGAGACCAGGGCCATTCCATGAAAGCAAAAGGGTGTGGAAAACCTGTGAATAGGAAACTTACTCAGAGTCCAGGTAAAGAGACTTTTACAATTCACTTTGATACAAAAACTGGGGGAGGATTAGATTATCCATTGGTAGTGAAAAAAGGGTAGTGTGGAATCTGCAGGTTATGCCCTATTCTGTCAAAATCATGAAAAATCCTGAAGCATCTTACTTACCAAAGGAGACATTTCAGAGGAATTTATGGTTCAGGTCCAATTCTCAGCTCTCCCAACATAGTGTCTTATTTGGAAGAAGTGGGGAGAGATTCCATATTAGGATGAAATTTAGCAGCTGGTGTGAAACTACAGAGTACTGATGCCCCAAAGCCACTTTTGCCTATAGCAAAATTTAGGTGTGTTTATATACATTTCTTTGATGCCATTAAAGATTTATTTTAGACTGGGAGAGTCTTAAGCAGACTGACTGAGCGCAGAGCCTGATGGTAGGCTCAGTCCATGACCCTGAAATCAGGATCTGAGCTGAAACCAAGAGTCATGTTTAACCAACTGCGCCACTAAAGATAATAATACAGGGGCACCTGGCTGGCTCGGTAGAGCATGTGGCTTTTGATACACAGATTGTGAGTTTAAGCCTACCATGTTGGGCGTAAAGCTTTAAGAAAGTTAATACGGGTTTTAGCTTTAGTCTTGGGTTTTTTTTTTTTTTTTTAATTTATTAGGGACACAGCGAGAGAGGGAACACAAGCAGGGGGAGTGGGGGAGGGAGAAGCAGGCTTCCTGGTGAGCAGGGAGCCCAATGCGGGGCTCCATCCCAGGACCCTGGGATCATGACCTGAGCCAAAGGCAGATGCTTAACGACTGAGCCACCCAGGCGCCCCTTTGTTCTTGAGTCAAGAAAATTTTTGTTCCTTTTCATTGATAAAACCATGACTCACACAGTTATCCACTAAATGTCATGGTTCAAATATTAAGGCCAGAGCTAGGTCATCTCAGTGAACTGAATCAATACCTGGGTTTTATGTAGGCCTTTATTCTACAAGGTGCTTCTTTTTTTTTTTTTTTTTT